TGTAAATGCTTAGAGTAGCTATGTTTACCCTGTCCAGTTGTGTGATACCCTTCAGTAGCCCCTCCCCAGTACTAGACCTCACAGGGGTTAGGGTGTACATGCCCAGTCCTCAACAGATGCTTGAACATTAGCTAATTATTAATTTATTTTCAAACTGTAACTAAATGAGTCGAGAAGATCGCTCTTTGAAGGGTATAGAGTAAAGAATGACTTAGTGATTTAAAGTAATGGGGATGCTAAGTTTACTCTCCAGAATGTGCTGGCAGTAGAAGTGGGTGGAAGAGGCTGAGAGGAAAGCTTTGGGAAGGAATCTGCTGAAGAATCTGGTAGAAGAGGGGCTGGTACAGACTAGAGGGACACTGAGGTACCATGGCAGTGGAAGTATCATGTGTGGGGGAGTTGGGAATTTGAGAAGGGAGCACTTGGATTGCAAGATGAACTGGAGTCAGGTCAGAAAGACTTGAGATACTATAGGGAAGGGAGGACATGGAGAGGTCAAAGAAAATGCAGGTATTGATGAGGTCAGAGGATGGAATTGAACTGCTAGAATTGGACTATTAATGAGTAAGTGCGGTTTTGAAAATTTGTGTTTAATTATTTTTCTGTGCTTAAAAAGTAACAAGGAAACATTAAAGTCTTTTATTTGTGTGTATATGTGTGCATACTGGTCCATGCTATTGCCCTCTTGTGGAAGTCATAGGACAACATCCCTCAACTCTGCAAGTCCCCAAGATACAGCTTGGGTTGGCAGGTAGGTACTTGGGGGCAATTACTTTTACCCACTAAGCCATCTCTGGCCTAAATATTTCCTTTTTTCTTTTCTTTCTTTCTTTTTTTTTTTTTTTTAAGAGGGTTTCTCTGTGTAGCTCTGGCTGTTCTGGTACTCACTCTGTATAGATCAGGCTGGCTTCAAACTTAGAGATGTTCCAGCCTCTGCCTCCTGAGTGCTGGGATTTAAGGTGTGTGCCGCTACCACCTGGCTTGAAATGTTCCTTTTTCAAACATATGGTTTATTACTTGTTTTTTAATTTTATTTACACATTTTACTTTTTATTCAGACTTTCACTACGATGCTGGCTAGCTCCATTACCATAAAACTAAACATAAGACTAGAAATTCCTTCCTGTTTGAGGCAGGAGGATGTTGGTGAGTTTCTTTTAAAATGAAGTAGAATGTTTTAGTGTAACAAAAGTCAAAATGAGCCAGGATGAATTAGTCTAGCATTCCATGTATACACGGGTCAAAACAGTAGCTCACCACGTAACCCAGGCTGGCCCCTTCTGCTACAGCCTGCTCTTTCTTTTCTTTTTTTTTTTTTGCCATTCTGTAGTAGAGTTTCATGTATGTGAGTAAGCACTCAGTCACTGAGCTGCTGTAACCCTAGTCTGAAGTGTAGGTAACTTTAATATAAGCAGATGAAGTCAGTCATTACTGATATGGACAATAACACGTGGAATACTTACTTGGTTTTTCGAGACAAGGTTTCTCTGTGTAGCTTTGGAGCCTATCCTGGCACTTACTCTGTAGATCAGGCTGGCCTCGAACTCAGAGATCCGCCTGCCTCTGCCTCCGGAATGCTGGGATTAAAGGTATGTGCCACCAATGCCTGGCTAATGTTTGTTTGTTTGTTTATTGATTTATTTTTATGTGGCCACTGTTTGTATTTCCCGAAGTCATTTTTTTTATTATGCCACATAACTTTGTATTTTTCGAGACTGTTGTAGAATTTGTATTCAAACTAGACGTGACATAAGCATTGTTGCCTGAGGCTGTTACACATTTTTCGTAGAGACATTTAGCTTGTATGTTTCCTAGGCATGAAAACAAGCAGTTTACTGGGTGGGGATGGGGAGTGATGCCTGGCTCTGAGGGATGGGGAGTGATGCCTGGCTCTGAGGGATGGG